GAAAAGTTCAAAAAATTCAAAAAAAATCAGATTAAAAAATTTAAATTTTGATAAAAACTTGTTAATGTTTACTAAATTTTGTATAAAGCTCGAAATTTATTATTAAAAAAAAAAAATACTTACAAAACACCTGCCTGGTTATTTGGTTATGCGGTTACATTTTTTATTAAGTTTAAAACAATAAAATATACTATTGAATAAAAATGTTTAACCAGATATCCTCATAACAAGGCAAGTGTGAACATCCACATTGTGAATATTAAACAAAATCGCCATTCACTCAGTCTTGATCGCCAGTCTACATATGTGCATACATATGTATTTATGTATATATGTATATACTCGTACATACCAACAATACGTGTCGTAGCAAGAAAAATAAATTTAGCATTGCTTATTACTTAAATTTTATTTTTAGTTTTTTGTTTCTCTATTCCACGGTTGGTTTAGTACGCGCAAAACTATTAAACAAATATTAGCGTTGCTGTGCAGAAATATTTTTACAGCTTTAATGTGTTTAAAAAAGGTGATGCATATTTTTTCTGCTACAGCCGTCATCGATTCGCCACTTCGCTGCTTGCTATGTTTGAGTTCCGGTCGCTTAACGAAAAATTTTGCATGTGAAAGCAACAACAAAGTTAGCTAGCACGGATAGACGATAGCGAGTTTGGTTGTACCTCATTGAGTTCGTTCGTTTCGTCACTCGCTAACTGATGGCGAATCGATGACGGCTTACTTCTCTAACCTCAGTCTGTCGAGCAGTGTTATATTTTATTATATTTTTTTTTTGTTATTTTTTAATTTACATATGCATATATATTTTTTTAATTATGTTCATCGAAGCAATTAAATGCAAATGGCTAGTATTTTGCCGCTTTGTCGTTTAATTATAAACTATTATTTATTTGCTGCGCTAGCTGAGCTTAATTAACGGTATGTGTATGTATGTATATATTTTTAATTCTTTTAAACTTTTCCGATAATAGCGCAATCGTTTGGCTGCACCGATAGCTATTAAATTTTTTAATCATAGAGGTTTTTTGTAGAAAATGAGTCAACAAAAATTCTTTTCATTGATTGCGTAAAGAGCATACATAGTAAAGGCAAATCAAAAAAACACCACCTTTGGGTAGATTTTGAAGCCGTTTTCGACAGCACAGAGAGAACCAAGATAGTTTTGGGCTCCCCAAAAAAATTAAATGGCTATGTAGATTGACGTTGAGCATAACTTTTTGCTATGCCTTAATTGAGAAGGACCTCGCCGATCAGAAAAGATATTTCAAAGTCAGCGATCTGTAGTCTTAATAAAGGGGGGTCAAGGCGGTTTTTTCAACTTAGCGAAACTAATAAAAAAGGTTGGTTTAGCGGCGAGTATCAACAACATAATATATCTCATGGCTATACCTAAAGGACCTTCACTTTACGAGGTCAAGCGAAATTGAATTAATTCAGATACTTTGGGCTCGGTAGGCAATTTAATAGCAGAGCCTTTTCTCATAAAAATTACGCTCTACTACAACTCTCATCGTACCAATCATCGTTTATATGTCGCAGAAACATGGAAAAAGTCCAACTAAGATCAGAAGGTTTTGAGTATATTCAAAAGAGCAACCCGAAGCAAGATCTATGGCCGTTTTCGCGGGGTCGACGAGTATTGAAAAAAATATAGAATGGCAAACTATACCAGCGTTGTAATGGATGGGGATACTCCGCTAAAAAGAGCCTTTGATTTGACTCCCATAAATGGATAACAAAATCACGAATGGACAACGTATTCCATGAACACAAAGGAAAGGACCAAATACAGAATGATCTATCTAAACTAAACTTGGTGTGAATAACACCAAAGGCAAGATAGGCAAATGGCGAAGTTTTTTTTGTCTCTTTAAAAATAGGCAAATGTTTGTAGCGCCAAATAAAAGATGATAGAAGCTTAAGAAAGTAAAGGCCAAAGTACTATTTGACATACGCTTTCACACTGATATTAACCATTTCAAAATATGGAATGTTTTACAGCTGAACAAAAGCTAAAATTATTGAATTAATCTACCAGAAATCTTGTTCATTGAAAAGGCGAATTTCTTGATCGTATAGTAAGCATAATTGAGGAATTTGAAATAGAGGACAGCCGCAAATGACTGCTGAGAGGCATTGTACCCGCAAAAACCGATTGTTTTATGTGCGTTGTGGGCCAACAGCGACATCGGGTTTTCTATGTGCCTCTTCGAGAACAACGAAGGAAGGCAAGGGAAATTCACACAAAGTGTAATTTCGAAATTCAGCGATGAGGCTTGTCCTCGAAGATTCTGTATCAATTACTTTTTGTGGAGCTTTGCGAAAAATCGTCACGTGGAGGTCGTTAGAATGGTATTGGGTTCCACGTAGAATGGCACCATCTAAACTTTATTATGAAGTTGAAATTTTATAGAATTTACATCGCTGTGGCAAGAGGCGCTTACTACTACTAGGTAGCACCTGGGTTCGATAACTGGTATGGGCAACATCTAATTTGGAAAATATTTTTCCTATACAGAGCGTACAGCTGTAGGTCCCTCCATTTGTGTAACAACATCAAGACGCACACCACAAATTGGGTCGAAATAAGTTAATAATACAGTTATACTAAATTACTCAAGTTCTTTTAAATGGCGTCATCATTTTTAGGATATCTGCTTCAGTTTGAGTAGGATTATTTATTTTGGAACGAATTTCCGTCATCCCTTGTCAAGTTTGGTTTGGAGACAAACCGGTTTCGGCGTTGTGCCATCACAACGAAAAATTGTACTGAATATGGATAGTGCGAGGCTGAAACCAGTTTGTCTCTAAACCAAACTTGGAAAGGTATGACGGAAATTTGTAAAAAAAAAATCAGCAAAGTATCTACTATTATTTTATCAATTTCTATTTGCATTATTCGACTTCAATTTTTTTCCAGTAAGTTTATTTATATTTTGCTTTATCAAAAATGTAAAATTACGTCTTACTACAAAAAAACTAAAACTAGGTCACTCAAACAACAAATGGCTACTTAAAATATATATTTTTTTTTATAAATTTCACTTACCCATACAACGGCCAAAGCCCGGATAAATTAAATTCTTTCTTCCTTCAGATTGTTGTTTATGTTTATCGTTTTCACCGTTAAAACGCAACAATTCGATATTGTTTATTGTGTATTGAATAAATTCACAGAAAAAAATAGATTAAACTTTGAAGTTTTGTTTGTTAAACGCGCTGAAAAGCACGTTGGCCGTACTCGCGCGATCGACAACTGTTTGCTTGCGACTGATCGACGCTTGAAGCGCTAGACTGTCTATATATAAGATTTAGAGCTCGCAAGATTAGTAGGCAGCCTATAAAAAATTTGTTTGGCTGGAAGTCTCTCTCTTCACTTATTTTTTTTTTTTTTTTTTTTTTTT